TAGCTCGGTAAGCATTTCCTTATAGATTCTTTTTGTGCGGATCGGGTGGCACGCCGCCATGGGTATGTTGTTTGGATCAGGTTGCACGCCGCAATAATGTGATGTTGAGTACAGTCCCCTATGTTCTATTTTGTGTGTTTTGTGTCCCATTTTCTAAGGAAGGTTCATGACACCTTTTCAATTGTCTAATTAGTCACATGGGTTGAGTAATCCTTTCCAGAGTTCGTTTTCCTTATGTATCGCAATCGAGTCCGTAGCTTATTAGCTCATTGTTGCGTCATATGAGGCTTTTTGCCGTGTATGAGGTGGCTTATTTCCTGAGTAGCTCATGCTAGGGGAGACGAGATTATTAGATCCTAGATCAGTGCCATCGGATTATATGAAGTATAATAAAGAGCAAATACCATTATTTGGTCCATAACGAGGCAATGTTTCTTGTCAGAAGGAGAAACTCAATAATTTGTTGACTCGGCAGTTGGTTATGAATTTCTACACATTTCTTCCATCGTGGAAGCATTTCAAAAGTTGGAACAGGACTTATATGTAACATAAGGTGTGTTGTGAACATCAGATTCGTGGAATTTCGGCTATTGTTATCGGAGGATGTTATTATGGTCATGTGAATGGTGCGGTGCATGGTCTAAATTCAACAAAGGTATGCAATCCAGTATTGGGGCATCGTGTAGTGATTGATACGGTGTTCGTAGGTTGGAAACAGGCATGGTGGAGAATTCTGGATGTTAGAATTGGGCTCTAATGCTTAATTGCCTAAATAAGGGAGAGAATCGTCAAATTTGCTCGAACTAATGTGCTCAATTGGGTGTGGTAGCACGGGTAGGTGCTCGAAGTGTTAAACTGTGATTTTGGACAACTCCGGAACAGTCCTTAGCACGTTCGAGGACAAACGTATATTTAAGTGGGAGAGAATATAACGACCCAACCATTTGTTTTGACTTTTAGAACCCTGTTTCCCTAAATAAAACTCCATGAATGTGCTTTTAATGATTTATGACTTGCGGGGATTGTTGGTTCGGGATTTGAAAGTGTTTGAGTTAGAATCGGAACACTTGGTTCCTTAAGTTGGCTTTAAAAGGCCAAGTTTGACTTCGGTCAATATTTTGAGAAAACGACCCCGGAATCGGGACGGTTCCAATAGGTTCGTATGATGATTTCAGACTTGGGCGTATGTTCGAATCGGGTTTTGGATAACCCGGAAGCGTTTTGGCGCTTAATAGTGAAAATCAATTATTTGAAGGTTTAAAGTTCTTTAAAATTTGGTTTGGAGTAGGTTTTGGAGTAATTGAAGTCCGTTTGGAATTCCGAGTCTGAGAATAGTTCCGCATAGTGATTTAAGACTTGTACGCAAAATTTCTTGTCTTTCCGGATAGTTTAAGTACGTTTCGGCGCATTAGAAGTAAATTGAAGAACTTGAAGTTCTTAAGTTTGATTCAATTTGGTTTGGGGTATGATTCTTAGATTTGGTGTTGTTTTACACGTTTCGTGAGTTCGAGCAAGTCCGTTTTATGATTTCAAACCTGTTGGTATGTTCGGGCGGGGCCCCGGGGGCCCCGAGTGTTAACCGGACGAGGCTCGGATCAATTTTGGAATTTTGAAGAAGAACTGAAGCTTCCAGCTTCTGTCAGAATCGCACCTGCGCATGGACCAACCGCAGGTGCGAGCCATACGCTGCAGGTGCGAAGGAGAGGAGCTGCCAGCAACCGCAGATGCGAAGGAATGGGCGCACCTGCGCTTGCGCAGAAGCGAGCAATTTGTCCGCAGGTGCGGTGCCAGACCAAAGGGGGAAATGCCCACCTGCAAGGTATTTTCGCAGGTGCACAAGCCGCATGTGCGATACTCCTTCGCAAGTGCGAAAAATCTATTTGGGCAGAACCTTAAAACGGACGAAGCTCAGTCCATTTTTGTTCGTTTTTCTTCCATGTATGGGAGATTTCAGAGCTTCTTGAGAGGAGATTTCAACTAGCAATTTGGAGGTAAGTTAATTCTACACACCTTGAGTTAAATACATAGATTATGGGTAGATTATAACTAGTAAATCTTAGAAATCAAAGGTTTAGATGAAAAACATAGATTTTTATAAAAATGAGATTTTAACCACGAAAATGGTTATGGAATTGGATAGAAATTATATATTTGAGTTATTGAGATTATGGGTAACGTTTTCATCCAAAAATTTCCAGAATCCAGGCACGTGGGCCCGGAGTGAATTTTAGGAATTTTACTGTTTTGGTTAGGGTAATCTATTTAATAGCCTAAATCCGAATTATTGAACATGTATTAAATATTTTGTATAACATTTGGATAGTTTCAGATTTTTCGGCATCGAATTGAAGTTTTTACACGATATTTTGATCGAAAAGTGGACTTTGAGACAAGGTAAGTCTCTTGTCTAATCTTGTGAGGGGAAAATTACCCCATAGGTCATTAAATTAATAATTGTTGCTAATTGTGGGGGGGTGGGGGGAGGGGCTACGTACACACGAGTTAACGAGAGTCCGTGCGTAGCTACTATTAATGCTAAAGTTCGGGTAGTTTAGGACACAAAGTATGAATTACTTGTGCAAATTGTATTCTTTATTTAAACAATATATATATATATATATATATTGTGAATTGTTAGGTAAAAATATTAAAAGATGAAAATCTCATATGCTTAAATTTTCTGTTTAAATTAATTAATTATTAAAAGAAGTTGTTCATCCTCTCGAATTGGTCTTTAATGAATATACTCTCCTTCCGGAGGTACATAAAAAAATATCCTCCTTTGTTGTGGAGCGGGCCGAACGCTTCGGCAGGATAGATGCATCTATGGATCGTGTCGCACGTCCCTCGGCAGTGTACACGACACTCTGGATCGGGCCGTACGACCTCGACAGAAATCGTGCCTAATAATAATAATAATTACTCGATACTTTGCTATTTTAATTGTAGCTTGTGAATTTAATTAATAGATTGAGAATAGTTGCATTTGAAGGAATTTAATTGATAAATTGGAAATTGTCGGAATTTCAAAGAATTAATTATCTTTGCTTGTTAAGGAAAGTATTGTTATTCCTGTAAATGAGGTTAGTTGATAAATTGGAAATTTATTGGAATTGAAGAAGTTTAATTATTTATGCTGGTTAAAGAAAATCATTGTAAATTCGATATATCATGTCGATCTAGATATTGCTATTTTTATTTTATCCATTATTATTGACTCTTAGTGAGTGTCAAAGTCAGCCATCTCGTCTCTACCTCTTCGAGATTAGGTTTGATACTTACTGAGTACACGTTATTTTTCGTACTCATGTTGCACTTGCTGCACATTTTATTGTGCAGGTATATATATGTCTAGCGGCCTCGTGGGCGCAGAGGTGTGGTTAAAATTTATGGGGACATAGGTGAGCTGCATTCTGTATTACGATCCGCAGCCAATAGAGTCTCTTTCAGAGTTATTATATTTTTCCTGATTAATTAGTATTCCAGACATATGCTGTATTTTATTTTAACTCCCTAGTAAATGCTCATACACTTGTGACACCGGGTTTTGGGAATGGTTGTAAATTGTTTAGAAATTTAGTTGCTAAAAATATTTATCATTTACTCTATGAGTTTTATCTTTATTATTTCATTGAAGAAATTTTTGATTTCAAAAATACTAAAATGAGTAATTAAACTAAGTGTGTATTTTGACAGTGATGTCCGGCGCCATCAAGACCTTAAAAGGACTTTGGGTCGCGACAAATTTGAAATTTTTTGGTGGGTGAGTACCATATCTAATATGCGAGATATACTAATTAAAGGAGGCCCCAATCTGCAGATTCGTCCACATATTTATGCAGCTGAAGTTTTGTTGAAGTTATCTTGCTCTTTTTGCTTGCTGCTCTGTCAGAAATGATACAGTTTTGTTGAAGTTATCTTGCTCATTTTGCGTGCTCCTTTATCAGCTACCAAAACTGTTTTCTTTTATAAATTTTGGCACATCGCAGTTCACTATATTAGCAAAAGAAGATCTACTGTTCCTTTCACAAAGGAAAGGGAAATTTAGGTTAGAAACTTACTGATCCTCTATTTTGATGCTTTTGTCTTCCTTCAGCAGCAAATCTTGTTCGTATTGGTTGTAATTTTTCCAACAAAGTTTTAACGATTGACTACTATCTTGAATTAACATATTTATATTTACATGTCAATTCGCTTATCTAAGTGTTCATGTTTCAAAGTTATTTGGTGACTAATTGTATTCTATTTTTGGCAGAACCTTATTAATACTGTCGACCTTTAATCCATAACTGCTGAAAGAAACGGGATACCAGGTTGAGTGAGAGACGCGCAAGCTACATGAAACTTTCGCCGATGGTGCAACTATTGTTAAAAAGGCGGCACTACATCAGCGTAGGATTCGATCTTGGTAGATGCAGTGCCGTTTTTTTAACACTGGTTATGCTGTCAAAAAAATATTCTTACTACTGGCTCAACCCTTTTATTACTTGTTGTCGGGACTTCAGTGTTTACTGGAATTACCTGTCTCTGCAATATTATAAAGCTTGCTACGCTCCGAAGAGACGACAATCCTGTTCTGGGAGTCTCAAACTTGCATCAGTTTGCCTCTATTCCTCATACTTTCAAGTTACTCACCCTTTACCTAAAGTTGTTTCATAAATTGAGTCACTCAAAGTACTGAATTTTGCAGGTAGTTATATATTTCAGTGGTCAAATCCCTTCTGAATTTGGTTCGTTCAAGAATCTTGATTTTATTCACTTAGCTGGAAATTCACTAAGTGGTAAAATTCCACCAGAATAATCGATGCTGAAAACAGTTACTCATGTGGAAATTGGTTATAACACATATGAAGGAAACATACCTTAACATTCAAGATTATTCGTATTCTTTCTTCTTTAAGGTTTGTCTTGATTTGACTGCTCAATTTTGTTTAACAGTTTAGACTCGATTTATTTTTATAATTTGTATAATATTTGTGTGTTTGTCCGAAGCTAAATTTTCAGAGAGGAGCTAAAGGTCAAAGAGTTTCAAGGCATTTGATGATAACTTATGATGGGGTAAAGCCGTAAAGGTTATGTCCAGTGGACTGCCTTTATCTCAGGTTTGTTAAGAAAGTAAATTATTTTCTTTAATTCTCTTACGATCAAGGTTTGTCAGCTGTGATTATAATCATATTTATTGGTTTGCTATAAATATTTGTTGAAATTTTACCTTATTCAAATGAAGGGCAAGGTTTAGGTGGACTGATTTGGTCATCTTCTTGCAACATCGGTAACGTCGTCCTTTTACTCCGTCAAGGTAATTGCATGGACTTAAAATGTTTTCCCTGCTATGTTGTGTCTGTTACTTTGACATTGGCTTCCTCATGAATTTATCTTGAATAGTAGTTCATTCTATGATTTGATTCTAATATTCTAAAATACAGTCTTTCGAAAACAGTCTCTTTGCCTTCTTGAAGGTAGGGGTAAAGTCTGCGTACATACTACCCTCCCCAGACCCCATTTGCGAGATTACACCTGGTCTGTTGTTGTTGCTGCTTCTAAAATACATATTTGCGTGTGTTGGTATAAATGTGATAATGAACTATTATTGAAATATTGTATACTTCTCTGCCAGTTGAAGTATGTCAACAGGCAAGCGGTAATCCATAGCATTGTCACAAATATCTGTGTTTATCGTCTTCTTAATTAGACAATATCATGCTTCTTGCTGTATAGAAACTAACTTTTACTTATTTGCCTTTCACAGCATGTCTTGCTAAACAAAGAATTACAACCATACCTTATGTCGCAGTTCGTATTAACCTTTGTTCTTAAAGGTATTCTGATTGCATTAGAACTTCTGATTGATGCACTTAGTAATATTATGAATTAAAATGTTTAACACATTAGATTTCACGTATTTCATAAGTACATCAATAGCAAATCGAGGATACAAGGTTGTTTTCCAAACTGTCATTTAAGCGCTTCTTTTTCAGCCATACCATTTAACTATTGTGGTAGATTTAATCGTTTGTTTCTTTTTCCTGCTATATTATATTGTTTTAATTGTTTACCTTGATAATTTGTGTGTGCTTACATGTTAGAAAAGTAGAAATTGCTCTTGTATTTCTAGCTATTGATCCTTATAGAGTGAAATTGAACCAGAAAATCATTTAGTAGTCGACTGTCCTTTTTCCTACCCATTGTAGGTTGTTCACCTGGAATGACTACTTACTTTGAAGATACTGAGTTTTTGATTACAAGGATGACTTAAAATTGTGATTTTAATGAATAGGTAAAGTTGTATTTGTCTATTGAGGCAGCAGATACTTTGGCTTGATTCTATGAATGGATTAATGTTTCTCTTTGCTTAAACCTTCAAATATCGAACACTTTGTGTCTTAAGATAAAGTTATGATGGTTTACGTTTTTCACTATGAATGAGTTTGAGTAAAGTTATACAATAAAATATCTGTTAGGATAGGGAACTCGAGTAGTGCGAAATTTAGCCAAACAATGTTATAATGACAATAACAAAGACAATGCAAGTTGATAATAACGGCAATTAAAGCATATAAAGAAGACACAAATTTAACGTGGTTCGGTCAAAGTGACCTACGTCCACAAGCGGAGATGAACAATTTCACTATACCAACAAGAGTACAAAATTAGAGTAAATACTCTAATTAATCCCAAATACCCTAAGAGAATAACCTCATAAGATCACTCCAAATAAAGGGTTCACACAAGTGCTTCCCAACACTCAACTCTCATACAAAACATTCTTAATAAAGGGGGAAAGGAAGAAACAAGAAACGAAGACTCAAGTCTTGTTGGTGTGTTTAAAATGAACTAATGTCATTTCCTTTTACAGACAAAAAAGTCTTGGCCTCTTAGTTGTAAAAGAAAAGATACAACTAGTGTATATGATATCCACCACACAATGCAATATTTTTGGATCCCAAAGAATATTGTCAACAAAATCTAACACTTTGTAAATATGTTTATGCTTTTGTGAGATAGACTCCAATAGTTAAAATATTGGCTATATTACAGTATCCTTGACCATTTAACTTAAGATAAGTTGAATATTACAGTTCTTTCTAATTACAGTATAAGTAATACCGAACATTTTCCTGCAAATGATTTCTCTTAGCCCATTAAAAATGAATTAAAAGTAGTTTACTGAATTCTTTAGGTTCCATAACTTTACTGAATCTAGGACAAGTTAGCCATTCAAACTTGCCAATAATTTCAATACTTAAGACTGAGTTAAAATAGAAAGATAAAGGTCCTTGTGACAAATTAAGCGAAATGACATTTTTCACATATATTATCTGCCAAAAAGCAGTACAGATCAAAAGAGCAAAAAGTAACATTGTAATAGAACGGGAAATGAATAATTGTATCTTTCATGGATTTGAGATTGTACATATATTTCTAAATTAGCAGCCCAAATTCTAATCTTATAGTAATCACTAGCCTTAATAGTTTATACAACACACTAAATAGGACTAGCAATTTATTACTTAGTTGTGAAGCCTTCCAAATCAATCTATAACAGTCTAAAGATAAAACCATCCAATAAGAATATTGTATTTTGTTCTGCATTATGCTCCAGATTTTTAGTTCCTTCTTAGTTAGATTCTCTATCCCATTTTCAAAGCGTGTGTCTCTTGTTCTTCACTGATCACTTTAGAAGCTGATTATGAGCTAACTCCAATATGTCTATTGTCTTTCTTGAATGGAGTTGTGACTAAGAATTTTTATAGTTGCTGGATTGAGTTTTCTATCTCTGAATATGTAGTGCTTCTTCTCGTGAAGAAGTGCATCTCTTAAAATTCATTTGGGTTGTTTGGGCCTGAAGCTAATGAGGAGCCACAACTCACAAGCTGATGAAAGGGAAGAATAGATGTAGCTGTCGAAAATCTTATAATACCACCTGGAATGATCTTCTACAGTGACCCCTGAAATCTTGATCAATAACATCTTGTTACATGTTTTTTTTGCATAAGATAAAACTTTGAAATGAACTTCTGTAAATTTTTCAAAATGGCTGCTTTTTTTTCCTTCTTCACATAGTTATTGCTACTATATTCTTTATCTTTGTCGATTACCCTTTTCTCTTTTTGAATGAGCATTCTTTGTTCAACAGACACAGCTGCAATCTTATATGGTAAGAAAGACAATGTTGTGTTAAAGGTACGCCAATGCCAATAAAAGCTACAATGATATATCCCAGCGGCGGCTCAAGCACATGCGGGGCCTAAAACCAAAATTTAATATGAGACCTAAATTTTTAAAAGAAATTTTTGAAGCTTATATTTCAACTTATTAATTTTTTTTATAGGAGCTACAGGCCAACCTCATTGTGATAAAGTAATTAATTTTTTTTTATAGGAGCTACGGTCCCCTTGGTATCAGAGCCCGGGGAAGTAAGGATTGTTATTCTTGTTTTTTAACATACTCTTATGTGGTACTGATAGATCAATCTCAGATCTATAAATACATGGCTTCTTTTATATATCTTTCTTAATATTATATTTTTTTTAAGAAGATCTCTTAAGATTGGCACTGGGATCCTTCTGGATCCTTCTGGATCTGTACTGTAAGGAGTTTTCCTAAGAAAGGTGGATATGATAATTCTCAGTTAGGCTTGCAGATGGTTATTCATAACCTTTGAGTCATCCTAAAGAATAACTTCTTAAGAGATAATTGGATTTAATTATTATATATAAGAGATGATATGTATCCATAGATTTGATTTTTATACATAACATTTCTACATAATTTTGAGTTAAAAACTTGAATATTAACCTTATGGAACCCAATGGCCTCACTACAAAAAAAAAAACGTAATTGTGGCGGTTATTTTGTGTATAACGGCGGTTTCAAACCCCCATAATACGCATTAACAACGGCTTCAAAAAATGCCGCAATCCCATCTATGATCTATCACAAACATATTACGGCGCCGTAAGGTAAATATCAAACCGTCGTAATATGAAAGGGTTAATATCGCCTTTTATTTTGTTTGTTGGCGGTTTAAAACCGCCGTAAGTGTACCGAATTGCTAATCTCAATTTTTGTATTGTTGTGGTTACAACCGCCAGAATTGCTCAGTTAAATTGGTTGCTTTCACCCCCAATATGTAAATGTTTTCGCTTTTTGAATAATACTAGTCTTAGGGTACGTGTACCCTATCTCAATAAGTAAAATTATATAAATATTATATTAAAATTATATTTGAGTTATAAAATAAAAATTTACATAATTTAAATAAGAAAAGAATTCGTATGATATATGTAATATTAAAAATTTATATACAATTCAAATAGTGAGGGAATTAATGCATAAAATTTAATTAATTAAAAGTATTGTCCACCCTTCTTTTACTTGTCATTAAGTAAATTCCTTAAATTGAATTTATTTTTAATTTATTTTAGTTCTTAGATTTTAAATTGATACGACATCTAGGGTCAAACTTCCTAATATTTGGTAAGAGAATATTTAAGTCAAATCGTTTTTAATATTTAGCTTAGAGTTATTGCTTAAATCTTTGGTGTTAGAAGTAATGAATTTTATAAGGAAAGAATTTATATAGCTAAAATCTTTCTTTATTTTAAATTCTTCGATATAGAAGTTTGTATATAGTTCGAATAAGGAGTGATTTAATATTTAAAATTTTAATTAATTTCGAAGTCCTAAATATTAGAAAAATAATTAAATGATTATTTCTAAATATAAGGAAAATAATTAAATGTCTATTCCTAAATATTAGGGAGATAATTAAATAAATATTCATAAATATTAGGATAATAATTAAAAGACTATTTTGTCTAGTCTGAACTCTAATTTTAAAGGGTAAAAAAGGCAAACGACATTTCGTTAAGGGCCTTCGTGCTTTTAATATAGTATAGATTATATTAATTTCATAATTGCAATTTATCTGAAAATAATTAATTTTGATAATTTAATTATTCCACATTTACATCTTGTCTGTTGCACCATATGCATTCAAACTTCTAAGTACTTTATAATAATTTTAACACAATATAAAAGATAAAATAAGCAAAATATTCATATAAAAGACAAGTACTTCAAAGTTACATCATCAAAATATTAAAGCTTCAAAGTGTAATTCAATAATAATATCCAAAAATATCATAGTTGATCCTAAAACTAATTACTAATTGGTATTCGGTCGATCATCAACTGGTGATGATGCGCAACTTCCTAATTCCAGTGCCTGCAAAAAGGAGAAAAGACAGTCAATAATCAATTAACTGATATTTGAACCATATACATTGCATGTATATAAGCAATGTACTGCAATTGAAATCCCACTCCATTTGGTGGCCTAGATGACCATTTTCTAGAAGAAAAAGTTAACGTGGATAGAGAACTAGTTTGAGTCATCATGTACTGCAATTGGGCAGAGATGAACATTAATTAGCTTTAACATTTTCCATCACAAATTGGTAGCAAACATTACATATAACTTGTAAGCCACATTTCGTAAAGGTTCACATACTCAGAAGCATAGCTGCAGCAATTATTGAATATCACATGGTGTTTTAAGTTAGCTTAATTTTAATTTGGAGAAACTAACACACACACACACACACACACACACACACATATATATCACATATATATATATATATATTTACTTGGCTAACAGTAATTACATCACAACCAAAAATATACAACCATAATAGAGTTCAATAGCTCCACATTCCAGAACACCAGATTGCATTAAATCTGCTTCTTCCCATTATCCTTCTTTGCTTTTAACTTGGCCAATCTTTGTTTGTTAAGCTGGTTACCACTAATAGCATTTTTTCCCTTGCATTGCAGCTTCTTTGGTGAGAAATATGGAAGGTTTGATGGCTCACTCACACCACTGGCATCAACAACAAA